ATATAAACACAAGTTCAATAATTCATGCAGCTTCTTAGAGCTACCTACTTAATTCTACTACCATGATTTCAAATATTTAATCTTTTAGAAATTTCAGTTTGTATATATTGGTTACATGTAGAAAAACATGTTCCAAATTAATAATCAAAGAGATTTTGTGGAACACTACTTTTAAAAGTATGTGTATCTTACTAATTTTTAATACTTTAGGAATAGACAGCATATCAAACTGTATTATATCTTTAAATTTTTATGCAATCTACAGTTGTGGTAATATATTTTAAATATATATCTAATACACACACACAAATGCACATAAACATGAGGGGGTGCCCCCAAACTGGAATTTTTTTCAAAGCTATGTGTTTACATTTTTTATAAAACCACCATATCACCTTCAAAGTATTCTCCATTATACTTAATACATTTGTCAAATCTGTGATTCCATTCTTGGAAAAGTTTTCCAAACTCATGTTTGGATGGCTGACTGTACCTCCCTCATTTTATTCTTAACCTCTTCTACATTGCCAAATTGCGGGCCTTTCGTGTCCCTCTTCATTCATGGAAACAAAAAGAAGTCCCACAGAGCAAGGTCAGGTGAGTGAGCTGCATGGGGTAAGAGAGGCATGCTGTTTTTTTGCCCAAAACTGGTGCACTGAGATGGCTGTATGAATAAGTTCATGTTTGTGGTGGCAAACCAGTTAGCCGTTTGCCACAAATCAGGCCTTTTTTTGACACACACAGTTATACAATCTTTTCAGAAACTTTAAATAGAAAGCTTGACTAACAGTATGACCTGGTGGAAAAAACTCCAAATGTACCATCTCCCTCACATCAAAAAAACAAATGAGCTTCGGTTCTTTTTTGGGTACCCCTAATATATGTGTGTGTGTGTATTTGATTTCCCGTTGTGAATTGTTAACCATGTCCCAGAAATCAGGGATCTTAGACTATCAATGAAACAGCAATATAGGAAACAAAACAATCCACAATATAGTCCTTGTTGCCTTCAAGTTTTTACTCTGGAATAACCTTAATTAGGCTTTCCCTGCACACCTTAAAAAAATTTTTAACTTTACTTCTAACTTTCCAACTCCATATTCTCCTCACCACTGGCTGTATTCACCAATACATCCTATATTTGATTCATAGTCATCTTGCTCACTGTCTGAATCCCTCCAGTAAACTCCACTTCTGGAGGGCAAAAATGTTGCTGTCTTATTCAGTATTATGTTCGGGGCACATAAAACTGTTACTCAATAAATGTTTAGTGAATAATTAAAGGAGTACAAGCCAAAATATTCCTGGATAAAATTCCGTTTGTGAACTCACTTTCACTTAATAAATGGTTGTCCTCTTACTAAAATACCTATAACCAGGCCCGAAGTGAAAAATATCTGTATTATCTTTTCCATATTAACACAAAGAGAAGTATCAAATTTAGAAATATACAGCCACGCATTTATTCTAAACTCTTTTGCTTTATAGATGATAAAACTAGTTATCAGTGATGGTGACAATTCAGTTTTCTTTAATTTGTGTGGGCTGAAAGCTCTAAAGTAGGAGGAAATAGATAATGACAGGCAGAAATGGGTTGTGATTCTTAAATAAGCATTCTTTCCATAAAATCATGCTGCTACTTCACTGAAGAAAATGAACTGTCTTTTGCCAAATGAAAGAATATGTATACATAGTTCAAGGGGAAAATTGGAGGGGCAGGGCAGGCATGGGAATGGAAACACGCAGGGGTACCCCCACCCAAAAAACCCCCAAACATCATTTTCCTAAAGCTATGTATTTAAATTTTTTTAATAAAACAATCTTATCACCTTTAAAGTATTCTCCATTACACTTAATACATTTGTCAAATCTGTGATTGCATTCTTGGAAGCATTTTTCAAACTCATCTGTTTGAATGGCTGACAGCTCCTCCCACTTTTTAAAAATTCGCCTCTTCTATGTCATCAAATCACTGTCCTTTCATGTGCCTCTTCATTCTCAGAAGCAAAAAGAAGTTGTATGGAGCAAGGTCAGGTGAGCAAGGTACATGGGGCAAGAGGAAGGCTGACTTTTGGCCCCAAACTGGTGCACTGAGATGGCTGTGTGGGCAGGTACACACACTGTCGAGGTGGTAAAACCAGAGCCCAGTCTGCAACAAAATCAGGCTTGGTCGCACACTGTTAACACTTATCTTTTCAGAACCCCGAAATAGAAAGTTTGATTAACAGATTGACCAAAAAAAAAAAATAATAATAATAATCTGACCTCGTGGAACGAACTCCAAATGCACTGAGTCAACAGTTCCATCCATTTGGGAAGTTGACGGATGTCCAGAATGAGGTTTGTCACCAATTGACATTTCACCTTTTTTGAACTGAGAAAACCACTCGTACACTTGTTTTTCCTAGAGTGCCATCCTTGTAAGCAGTGTTCAACAGCACAACAATTTCTGTGTCATTTTTCCCTGAGCAGGAAACATTTCACAGCCTCGAAGTATTCTCTGAAATCAACCATCACAAAAAACGAGGTCCAAGCGAAATGTCAGTGACCAGAGAGAACAGTGGAGCTTTTCCCCTAGTGCCTTTTTTTGGGGGTGGTGGTGGGGCTATTAAAGATAGGCCCATCCAATTTAAAATTGTTTGTGGCTAAAATTTTCAGTAAGAAAATTTAAACATAACAAGGTAATACTTGGCTTTTCTCTTAGGAAATCAAAACCATTTTCAAAAAGTGAAGTCTTGTCCATCTTCAGTGTCCATGTCAAAGTTTTTGTGGCACATTGTCAGCTCAGTTATTAAGCCAGGCTATATAGACTAACAAGAAGGGTAGGAGTTAAAAGATGAAATAACGTTTAACAATTTGAAACACTGGGTTCAAACTTGAGGACAGTGTGTTAAAATTTGATTCTTTAAGCCACCGAAATCTCTGTGAAGACATAAGATTATCCACATTCAAAAATCACTTGGTTTTATTTTGCAGAATAGAGTCACACTCAAGGATAGACCATTTTCAATTACGAGATGGCTCAGAAAGTCTGTACGGATTCAGAGAATGTTGCGACCCTATGCTTCACAGTACTGAGAATTTAATCTTCCATTTGAAAGAATAAAATCTATCAAGTGAAGTTACAATTACAGATTTCATAATGATTTCTTCTTATTGCTTCCTGGACACATCAATTCTATTCATGGATGAAACATCTCTTCTGAATCACAACTCAAGAAGAAATGTCACTACTTTACCAATGATATTTATATCAGAAACAATAAGACAATGAGCCCATTCAGCTTGCAGCATTGGTTGTACTTTGAATAACAATGAGAATTTTGGGTGAAATACCAAAGATAACCAAAATGAATGTGGATATTAAGATAAAATTATAGTTTTACTTTAGTAAAATCAACAGGAGCAGGAGAGTGTGTACAAGCTTTGCTTTTCATTAAGGTGAGCAACAGAACAAAATAACTGATCTCTGATGCATTTTGACTAGAGTTTAATAGAAAAGGAAACTGCTGTTCTAATTTTGGGATATTAAATATGATTTGGTTTAAACTGAAGTACAATCCTTTGGGACCAAAAGAACATAATTCTTAGGATAAAGATATTTAAATAAATTAGCTAATATTCACATTCACTCTTAAAATTTACTTTGAAAGGCTGACGAAATCTAAATTTAAATGCATTACTTAAAATAATATGGTTTGGGCCAAGCTAAAAAGAATTAATACAATTTTAGAAATGCATTCACATAGCCATCCAGTAATGAATTTTACCCCTTCTCCCCTCATATTATCCCACTGGTATAATGGATTATGTGTTGGGCTGCAAACTACAAGGTCAGTTGTTCAAATTCACCAGCTGCGCCAGAGGAGAACAATGAGGTCTTCTGTTCCCTCAAGATTTACAGCCTTGGAAACGGAGAAGTGGCAGTTCTCTTCTGATTCACAGGGTCACTGTAAGTCAGAATCAACTTCATGAAGAGTTAATATTTTTGGAGTACATGTTTTATACTCAAAATAATACCTTTAATTATAAACTTAAGGGAGAGTTTAAGATAAAAAGTTAAAATACTGTGATTATCTAAACGAAACATATGGATTCTCATATGCAAAATTTCTCCTTCAATGTAATAAATATGTAAGATACATAAAGGCACACTTTATTTTACTGTTTCACTTTGTTACAATTCATAGACATTAATCTTTTATAAATTAAATGTTTGGAGCACCCTTGCAATAAGCAAATCTACTGGCATCATTTTCCCAGCAGTTTGTATTCACTGTGTCTCTATTTCACACTCTTACAATATTTCAAACTTTTCAATGATCTACTGCACACTTAACAGATTGTCATATATTGCAAACACAACTGTTATATGCACCGGGAAACAAAGAAATGTGTGTGATCTGCTCTACTGTGAACACCTGGAACTGAATACCCTCCACCCTCACCCCCAAGGTATGTATGCCTATAGGTATTACAGCAACTGATATATTTCATTAGGCAAATGAACCCTGGTGACGCTGTGGGGTACTCATTAGGCTGTTAACCACTGCAAGGTAAGCAATTTAAGCCTATCAGCCACTCTGGGGGAAGAGATCATTTCTAATTCTCCAAATTATAGATTTAAAGCCACACTCACACACCGCCCCCCCGCGCCCCCCCAGCCCCAAATCCAAACTCACGGAATTGCCCCCACAGGTTTCTGAGATTTTAACTCCTTAAGCAAGCTTCATCTTTCTCCTTGCTAGTGATTTCACACTGCTGACCTTGTGGTTAGCAGCCCCACTTGTAACCACTAAATCACCACCAGGGCTCTTTGAATTTATAACTAGCCCTATTTAATAAAGCCTTAAATGATACCTGTAGAGTTCTTTAGAATGGGAAAAGCCCTGCTTTTAAAAAATAACAAAAAAGACAATTTAATTTGGGTGACGTTACCTAAACATTCATAAAAGCTAAAGTAATTTCATACACAGGCAACATAAGTAAAATGCTTGTTCTGAACTTTCAAAATGTATTTTAATCTCATTCCAAAAAGAAAAATTTTCTAGACACAAATACATCTCATTCAATCACATTTTTAAAACATATATTCAGCAACTTAAATTATAAGGATCCAATATTTTCATCTTTTATAACCTCAATATATTATATATTTAATATATAATATATATATACAATACATACAAGTAGTCAGCAGGATTACAAAGTAATTGAAAATTCTGATCACTATTGATAAATATTTTTAGACTATTAAAAAGAACTACTGAGGTTCATAGAATGAAATGAAATATGGAAGGCCCAAACCTAAAATCATGACAGCAAGTGCTCCTATGGCCAATCATTACAAAAGAACTCTTTAAGTTGTGTGGGATACATTTTAAAACAACACTCTGGCTACTCTCAAGTAGCAAAACCTGTTATCAAGCATGTACATCTCCATTACATTTAAAATAACTCTGCAGCTTGCTTTACTGTAATATACAGTAGCTATTTCTTCCTTTCTGTTGGATTTGTAGCTGTTGTTTGAGGAGAAAACACTACCAACAGAAGAGACCTTTGCCCCTCCTTCCCCCAAAGCATGGCTCAGTTTGAAGAATGTTCTTCTATAGGTAGCTACTATTGAGTGTGAACAGTACCTTAATACCATTAAGAGCAATCAATCAATAACTGGAATCCTATGAAATGTTTCCAAGACTGCTAGGGGGTTCTGTAAACCAAGGTAATCAGATGTATTACCCTTGTAAATAGCCCTCTCACATCTGTTAATACAAAGAGTTAAAATTCCAATGCCAAAGTACAACAGTTAACAATATACTCTATGATATTACATATTACAACATCAATTCACCCTGAGAATACAGAGGAAAAGTTTAAAACAAGAAGGTATTTCTGATATGCATTTTTTCCTTTGTGTTTGCTTTCTTCTGGTTTTCTTCAACTCCTCAATGACACAGATATTTGAATTCAAAGTGTGACTCGTATGTCCTTTGTTGTCAACTTAGGTTCATGCCACAGTCAGGTACTGGTGATAGAAAAGTCCAAAAAGGCTTGTAGTAAAGAGGCAAGCAGCAACCCACCATGTCAAAAAAGACAGAAGTCCTCGGAAAAGCAGAGGAGTAAAAATGTTTTTTAAGCTGCTCAGTGCCACTGTTATTTGTGTAACAGTTACCTTCATCTTCCCATCAGCAGATGGCAATTCAGAGTAAACAGAATTGGAGGTTAGACCGCTATCAACTGGCAAAGAAGAAATAGTTTCTGGCCAAATCCCCCAGGAATGATTACCTAGAAAATGGAAGACATAAATGACACTTGAAGAATAACTAATTCCAAGTTTCCATTAACAATAAAAAGTTTAGGGGCACAACACATCAAGTTCTATTGTAAAACAAAGTAAACAAATTAAAATAAAAACCATTCTATAAATTTGGTAAATACTTGCACTTAACCTGACCAGACTATAACCTGGTGTTACCACTAAAGGTACATGCAAGAACAAAAAGCCTACAGCACTGCACTAACATCTGGTAAAATCATAACAATTTTTCCTTGTGTAATACAATTATCAACTACCTCTACTGAGTAACAAGGACTGATTCAATAGCTTCTTAGAAATCCTTTCTACCCTAGGAATATCAAAATAAATTTCTTTCCCAGAAGATTACCGTGATTTCAATAACAGAGAGTATTAATAGCTCCCAGAGAAATTTCCATCTTATACTTTCTTATGATGGATAGGATGAGTCACATAATTTACAATTGAGCTACCCCTAAAGGATATTTACTGTTTTACAGTATCTACTAATGAACCCCAGCCCTTTGAGAGAATGCCTAATCTAAGGCAAGGGAAATAGTTAACTTAATAACAGATAGTTCTTAAATAACACCATAGTAGTATCTGATGGCTTAATAAAAATATTCATAGGAAACTCCATCATTTCACAAAGAAATTTTTAACTTTTCACAAAAGCTATCTAAGGTAGAACTCTTCAAAGGAGAGTTTAAAAAGAGATTCTGTAATTCAAATGTTTATAGGTACCTCTTAATAATTTCATGTTAGCACTAACAAAAACTTTTAAGACTGTAATATGTAAAAAGAGAAAAATACACAAAAGGAACTAGTAAGATCAACAGCTCTCTCTAGTTACTTACTATTCAAACATCTAACTTTAGGAATTCACCTTTAATAAGCAATTTTTAGAAAACCGTCTATTACAAAATATGTAGGCCTGAAAAAAATCAAGATGTGGTTCAACCTTGCAGATAAAAACCCTTTATATTTAACTTTAGGAAGTGTTTCTTTGTGTATAGCAAAAAACATTGTTAATTTAGGGAGAAAGCAAAAAAAACCCAAAATCATGCTTCTTAAATGTCCAGGCATTGCCTACCTAGTGTTTTCAAAAGCAGCGTCGTGTGAAGCAGCATTGCCAGGGGTGCCACATACTGCAGTGCAATGACACAAAGGTAACAGAAGACTCGAGCCACCTGCAACCAACAATACAACAGCCGACAAGTTACAAGTGAATTCAACTGAATAACATTTGTCAAACTGAATTAAGAAATGTAATCCTTCCTTGGGAAGGAAGTTACTTGTTAATACGTTGGCATCTTATTATAAATGGCCCTATTCTGACTTCAGAAAGTCTCTGATTTTCTTAAGTTTGAAGATGGTCAAGTTATTTTTTTCAAAATGTAATTAAAATAAATCTTTAACAACTAAAAGTGGCTAGCATAAATTGAGGAAAATAACTTCTAAAATTCAGATAGCACATATTCACTTACAATTCTAAGATAAAATAAAATGACTAGAATCTCTGAGGATAACAATGCCAAAATTAAGCATTAAGCCCTGCATACAAAAGAGCCTTAAATTCACATGAAGGCATCAAAGTTTTTTGGAAAAAGTGAGTTAAAGGATAGTGGAGATTTCCAAGACTTTTTCAAGCACACTATTTCATTGGATAGAGGTCAAATTATAAAGAATACAGAAATATCAGGGTAAGAAAGTATTGCTACTAAGGCTCTGATTCATACAAGCACCATTTACTACAAACAAAATGTGTTCAACCATGTTTTTCTGATAAGACGTTTGTCACATTAGGGTACCTTAAAAAAAGGCAAAGAAAAAACAAAGAAGATACTTTTTATACAATAGGGAAAAAAATGTTAACGTTAGGGCTTGTATTAAATCTTCAGGAAAACTCAAGTAGTTATCTTCTCAAATAATAGATGATTTGCATCAAGTTTAGGGGAATGCTGCCCTATAATAAAACAGTACTTTTTAGACGGAGCAAGTGTTTTAAGGAAAGTTGAAAAGACCTCAGATATAAGCCAGTGAGAAGATTGCCAACGTTGACAAATGAAGACACTGTGGCTGAAGTCCAGGAACGAGTGGAAGATGATCATAAAATTATCATCAATGTGACAGTTACTGAAGTTCAGTATTTTCCATTTTAAATTATCTTGGCATCAGAAAATGATCAGCTCAATGAGTGGCAAAGCACTGCAAGATCAGCTAGCTCAAGGAGCAGCTTTCCATTAGCATTCCATTAGTTTAAGTAAGAGAGAAATAAATAAAGATGATTTTATGGAGCAATTGTTAACCAGGGTTGAGGTTTGGATTTACTAATTTGATCCACAGAGCAAGGACCAATCGATACAGTGGTTTCTAAGGCAGTGGTTCTCAACCTGTGAGTCACGACCCCTTTGGGAGGGATCAAATGACCCTTTCACAGGGGTCACCTAAGACCACCGGAAAACACATAAATATTTCACAATTATAAATAGATATTTTTGGGGGCTTAAGCACTATGCTTTAATTATGTTTAATCTGTAACAATGAAAATATATCCCGCATATCAGATATTTACATTACAATTCATAACAGTAGCAAAATTACAGTTATGAAGTAGCAATGAAAATAATTTTAAGGATGGGGGGTCACCACAACATGCGGAACTGTATTCAAGGGTTGTGGCATTAGGAAGGTCGAGAACCACTAAGAAATATGCTGGGTCAGATTCAAGGCAGAGAAAACTTTGAAGGTTATAGCAACTGATTTTGGAATTCTAAAAGGGCAGAGGGGACCAGGCTCTGGAGAAAAAATGAAATGCTCGGCTATATAGAAGGTCAGCCAAGAAAAGGAAAAAAAAAGGAGGCAGATCTTTGCGAGACGGACTGGCACAGTGGCTCCAACAGTGAACTCGCATATTTTAGGTATGGTGCAAACCAGGCAGGTAGGGTTTCCTTCTGTTGTATGTGGAGCCACTCTAAGCCAGAACCTACTCATAGTACTTAACAACAAAAATGGATAATCTTGACAGACCTTTCCAAAAAGACAGTGATCATAGGGCCTTAATAGGAAGAAAATGAAATTGAAAACTGTATTAGGAGAAAAAGGGTCCTGTTTAGGAATAGTAATCACACTATAGTTTTCACAATCCTTAAAATGCTTAAAACAGGAAGAGGAAGGAGAATTAAAGTTCTTTTTTTATTTACCCATTAAATCAGACCAAGGTCTCTGATAGTCATTAGGTTACCATGGTCCATTTGTTACAAAAAGGGTAGTATAGGATCAAATTATTAAATATTATAGGAAATGCAAATCTGTTCTTTCTTAAAACACAAAAAGGCTGTGCTTCATTTCAACTACAGTATAAAACTTACCTTTTTCTGTAGCTCAACAGTACTTATTCGTCCTGCTTCTTTCTTCAGCTGATCCACACATTTCTGGGCTAAGTTTAAGTAAGCTTGCATGTGACTACGCATCATGGCCAATCGCAAAACACAGAGCAGGACTATTATCCACAGTCGCAGAGTATCAAATGCAGCTTCTGACATTCTACAGAGCAAAAAGTTAATACAGGGTCCTCAAAGTTCACAATACGCTTCTTTGGAAATCTATTTAGGCGATACCAAAAAGCTCATTGCTATGGACTTGATTCCTAATCACAGCCTCATCTTTTTCCTAAAGAGAGGCTGGTGGATTTGAACCACCACACTAAGGGTTGCAGTCCAATGCTGACCAGACAGGGCTACCAGTGCTCTTATAAAAAAGACATGCATATAATCCTTTCACTTACAAAATAGAATTGGATCAATAAATGTATCATGGGAGACTAGGAGGAATACAAATCTGGCAAAACCAAAAAGTAGAGCATTATTTAGGATTTAGTACCTACTCTCCTGTGAGGAAGAAAATTTAGCTGTGAAATTCAAAAAGAATGTGTGTAACTTTCAAACTGCAGATGAGGGGAAAGAAAGGAGGAAAGCAGGAGTGGGGAACCATACGAGTGTGCCCATGGAACTAATCATGCCTACAGCCATCTTTTATTGACTCTAGTTTTGTCTGCTTATATAAATGTTTAGGCTCTTTCACTCTGCTGAAATCCTAACTCTTGGGACCATAGAAAATCAAGAATTCTGGTATATAAATTAAGAAATCAGATGTCTCAAATGCTTCACCAACAAGTCATCATTTAGCCTGATATATGATTGAAGAGGGTTTAGTTCTGGGCCATTTCTGAAAGTTAAAGTGAGAATCCTAGGTAAGAAGACATACTCTTGAGACATCTTTTTCAAAACTAAACCCCTAGAAAGCTGAGAAAAAAAACCTTAATATCACGAAGCCAAAATGGATGAGTATAAAAAGGAACAAATGACAAAAGAAAAACAATTTGACAGCATTTCTTCCCAAATAGTCCATTATCACCCACCCCAGTTAAAGAACTAAAACTGCAAACGCAGAAAAGCTTTCCTAGGGAAATAAAGTCTTAAAACTAAGACAGGAAACAGAAAAAGCTGAGAAGACCCTAAGAGGCACTTTTGTGTTTATAATATGGAGGTCACAAATGAGGATGGGGCACACTTAATTGCTATGTTTTCTTTTTAAAGAAAAGAAAGTGTTATGTCCATGAATTCACGTGTACATTAAAGTATAATGAGGAAGGACTTTTGCAGGGAAGGATCCAGGCATATTTTATTACCATGTTTCTACAATAATGAATAATTTAGATTGATATTAAGAGGCCGGGGTCATAGATTGGCAGCACAGTAAAGGCAAGACTTGTTCACACTTCTGTGCTCCCTAGAGTTGTTGAAAAAGACTTGACTGACAGCATTCTGAAGATCATTATTACAGACTTTCAGGGTAACTTACAAAGAGAATGGACTAAGGCCATGACACAGGAAATTATGTAATTAGTTCAAGAGGAGTTCAGGATTTAGAATTAGTTATTAGACTCTCCCTTCTAGTTCAGATTACTTGAGTATCTTAAGTATACATAGAAGACATATAAAATAACATAAAATGTAGACCTGATGAGGTATCTCAAGAAAAAAAGATGAGTTTGTAAAAAATATGGGGAGAGAACTGGCCCACATTCTGATACTATTTCTTGCTTCACGGTGCATGGTAGCTTTGGTTTTCTTTTTAAGAGATCATGAGCACCCATGGACTCTGTTACTCCTTGTTTATTTGTTCAATGCCAAATCAGAACAGATGGATAGTTTAAATACACTTTAGGGCCGAAATTTGCATTATCACTAGCTTTTCCTCTAATTACAAATAGACTTTTCTACAAATTACTTTATCTATGCAATAAGGGGAAAACCTGTCATTTGTTTTCTCCTTCATCCTGCACTGTTTGACAGATAACTAATCTTCCTCAATCGACCACCTGGACTTCAAATCTAAAATGAAAACTAAAAGCCATCCCTGTCTACTGCAATGGTCTGAATACTAAAGAATTATAAGATGAAACCAAGGTAGGACTATATAAATGCCTCCCCACCCCCTTTCACCCAAAGTGAAAAATTCCCCATTCTTATTTCATTAAAATACTCATTCTAAATCTGTACAAAACTTAGTTAGAATGAAAGAAGGAATTCAATAACCACCAAATGTCACATATATTATCTGCTTATCAAATGTGACAATGTCCATTTCTTCCTAATGAGAAACATCATGGACTTTGCAAATATGAAACTTGGTTGAATAGCCTTAGACAAGTTATTTAACTTTTGAATTTGTTACTTAATCTGTAAAATGGGAATGCAAACAGCAACAACAATACTGACAAGTATTAATTTGGGTGAAACGGAAGAAAGAATCCATAGAGGCAAAAGAGAAATCAAAGTTGGAAGGGTAAGATACTGGGGGGTCTGATTAGTATTTTAAAGTATTGAATAAAAAATTGATTACCTGAAATGTATACTCCCACCTAATTCAAACACACACACACACACACACACACACACACACACACACACACGAATGAAATAATATGTGTAAGTATTAATATCTGGCAAAACAACTAGCATATAATGGGTGCATTAAAAATGCTAGTGTTGTTTTATCAATATGACTAGGTATAATATCAAAGAATATAATAAAAAACTCCAAACAAAACTCACTGCCACTAAGTCGATTCTGACTCACAGCGACCCTGTGGTTTTTGAAGCTGTAAATCTTCTTTCTTCTGTGGAGCAAATGGTAGGTGGGAACTACTGGACTGGAAGCCCTCGAAATACTTGTCTAGCATGTCAGGATCCTAAGGATTACTTTCAAATACTTCATGACTCTGTTAAACTAAAATGTCTAATAAGCCCTACTCATGTGGAAATCAATTTAAAATAAACCTAGCCCAATGAATATGTTCCTAATTCAGTAATAGTGACTCTTAAAAGAATGAAGTAGAAAATTCCATGGTCATCACGGATTATATGCTCTAAGTCATAAATTTGTACCAGCATCGCAAATGTATACCATGGAATCAAAGACTAATCAAATTTCCTTTTTCAATTCTGATGAAACAAAACAGTACAGGAAACATTGATTAAAGACTTACTTCCAACTGGTTGCATTACATGTGCTCTTTCATTTAACCATGATAACCTTGTGAAGTAGATACTATTATTTTCTTTTTCCAGATGGGGAATCAGAGGCTCCAGAAGTTAGATAATCTACCTCAAGTGACAGTTTTAGTGAAGAACAAAGCTGAGGTTTGACTCTTTCTACTACTCTAACATTGTGTCACACAGTTAAAATATTAAGTATACTTATAATGCCTTTTAAAAAACGGTTTCTATGCTCCTTAATGCCATGCATTAAATGAAGCATTCTAACTGTGGAAAAATGATTTAGTATTACATATCAAAGGTAGGACACTGTTTCTAATTTTGTTAGTTGTGATATTGTTGGTCAAAAGTAAAATGTTCTAATTTACTGAAAAACTCTTCACCAAAAACAAAAACTAACAAAGTTAACAAAGATGAAGTAAATATGGAAACTTAATAAATTATTAAGCATAACAATTAAGTACAGAGTTCTCACTTATACGATTCTTCTTTTCTCTGTAATTTTCATAAGTATGAAGGAGATAAAAAGAACTACGAAAGTTATCTAACAGGCACAATGACAAGAGGGAAAAAATGACAGATGACAACTGGACGTTTATTGATGAAAAATTTTTGAGTGTGCACTATGATTGCAGGGTGGTGACAATTAAAATTTATTAATGTGGATCAAAACACCTGTACTTCCAACTTAATATGATACATGTTTACATTTCTAGTAATGTTCAAAATATTGTACCCTACTAGTTTTATCATCAGTAAACAAGATACAGTAACACTCAAAAAAGAGTCAATTATATAGTTATACAAAAATTAGTCCTCCAATATCCATACTTACAAAGGAATACTTTCTTTCCCCAAAGGTGGGTTCATAATGTAGTCTTTGGTGATTGGCTTTACCCAGAGGAGAACCATAAACAAAGGTGCCAAGAAGTTGATATGAAGTAGGATCCTGAAAATATAGAAGAAATAAAGATAAATATGCAGACATAATATGATCTCATAAACTATAAAACTTGGAGCTGTATAATATAAAATTAGGAATGCATTTTAGTATTCTAAAGTACTACTATCACCAACATTTTATCATTCGCACGTAATACTGACTTGAGCCTTTGTGAAGCCATGAATTGTTAGCGAAGTACAGTTTTATTTCAGTTTTTCAGATGACAACATTTAAATATGGAAGTTAAATGATCTGCTCATATGGGAAAAACTAGGAGTAAAATCTACATCTGTTCAATTCTAGCCAACAATGCAATACTATAACCATGATTCAATTACTCTCCCTACCTCCACAGCAACCCTATGGGATAGAGGTTTGTAATCCACAGAGTTTTTAAGATTAATCTTTACACAAGCAGGATATGCTCTAACTTTACAGAGTAGACCCAATATGGTCATTTTCTAATACTGCTCAACACATTTGATATGGCATGCTTTCTATTCATAAGTAGTAGTGCTTAGTAAGAACCATATTACTAGAGAACACACACACACACACACACACACACACACACACACACACCAGATACAATCTACCACAACATATAACTAAGGAGACTTTCAATATATAATAACTGAATAGTATTTAATGGATATTACCAAAATCATAAATTCACCTTTTCATTTATTTGGAGATAATTGTGAACATACTTGAAATTAATTTCCTTATCTTGTACAAATCAAGGACTTTCATCTTACTCCTAGCAATGCAATATGGTCACTACTAAAGGGATTTCAAGTTTCAACTAAAACTTCACTGTTAACTGTTATCCAAGTTTTTACCCTACAGGGAAAGACTGCTCTGAATGATTTAAAACAAATGGAAATTCCTTACACTAGTTGTTTCACTACACTTCAACTGATTGTATTATCACACTATGGAAGGGTTTAACATACAGTCTATAATATCACTACATAAGCAAATGATAGTAATCTGTGTAAGGATGTGAAGAAACAGATCTAGATAAGGAAACCACCTGACAGGAAAAGCGTAGAACTCTGGGTTCCAGCCTCTGTCATTAAAACAAGAACTAGTGCCCGGCCATGTGGGTGAGAAGAATATTGCTCTTTGTGCCAGTTATGGTACTTGCACACAGAACTAGCTAGCACACACCCTTGTATCAAGGCAGAGTGGTACATCACAATGGGAGGAGGGAGCTCACTGTCACAAGGGAAAGCAAAATCCCAAAAAGCCAAAGCCAAAGCAAGAATTCTTAAAAAGAAGCCACATTTTACTGAAAAAGGCAGTAAAATGTGCTTCCCCCACCCTCCCCTTAAATGCCTTAAATGTTTGCATAAAGTGATTCTTTCATCCCACAGCCTGGGTAAACCATGGAGTGCAAGGGAAGAAAAAAGCAGTATTAGGTATGCAGTGTTGCTAGGGAACACTTCAGTATCAAGGAGCAGCCCACAGCGGTTTCAGTAGCTTGTGAAGGGCTCCCCTCCACCCACCCTTTTCAGCTTATTTAAATCATAACACTGGGGTTAGTGGACTGAAGTGTGTGTGTAGAGAAGAGGGGGAGAAGCAGGTTTTGTCTTAAAAGAAGCGATTAGAGAGACGGGTGGTGGAAGAAAGGCAGGATGTAGCCAAGAGCATGCTGAGTAAAAGGAGGGAAAGAGGGGGGCTGGGTGGGGAATGAAGGAGTGTATAGTAGGAGGTAGGAGTAAGTAAACATGCACACAAAGCCTGTGTAGAAAAATGGAGGTAAGGGGAAAAACAGAAAGACTGTCAAAATTAAAATAAAGGAAAATGACATTGGTAAGGTAGATATGAATTATTATAGAAAGGCTTCTATGGAAAAATAGAAATCAACGCCATTAGATATAGGGCTTCAAAGAACAGAAATGTTAAGAAATATAATTAGGCAGAGGAACTTAATGACTTTTTGCATACTTATAATAGAATATTTTGAATTATCACTGAAAAACCAAAAGATGATATAGGAACTTGGAGCAAGTTGAGTTTAAGTAGACATAAGCCTGCATTTCTGCCAAGGTATCTAGATTAACATTTGTGAAAACCAAAAGTATAGTAAATGGGCTTTGATTTCTTCATTAGAAAACTAAAATAAAATTTGGCATCTAAAAAGTAATCTATGATACATAGGACACAGAACACTACAATATTAGCAATCTTAATATAAAACAACAATTAACAAGAGTTTTAACAACAGATCTGTAACTTACAAAAGATAAACACACCTCTTTGATATTGATTTGGAAAAATAAATGAAATGTCTTGAATAAAAAATAATTTCAAGGATTTCATATAAAATATTCTTAAGCAAAATTTTGAGGGAACTTTTCATAGCTTCTTAGATCAGCTGTAGAAATTGCAGTATTATAAGCAATATTTGAAATAAAAAGAACATAATGTTGATATTTTTACTCCATAAGTTAAAACAAAAATTTAATAATTGATAGTATATATGTATATAACACAGAAACTTAAAACTTAGAAATGAGAAAATAACTTGGATTATTAAGAAAAAGAGAAATAGTGTGATATCAAACGGTTACTTGATCATTCATTTTTAAAATAATAATGATTTCATTACAATAATATACCTTCATTAAGATGGAAAACATATATTTATCTGCATGTGCTTATGTACATTTTCCGCTTACTGTGTAATTTTTTCTGTTGCCAAATTCAAGGCATCCAGATGCATTTGAGCCAGCCGTAATCCAGGAAATGTCAAAAATGCCCCAATGAGTGAACAGAAAATGGCCAGAAAAAATTTGAAAGTAAGTTTAGAAACAGGACGCCTAAAAGTAAAATTAAAAAGAAAAAAAAAGCTGATGAAATGTTTAAGTTAATTTCTAAGAGTTTCTTTTATTATAATCACTTTACAAATAACCATAATAATAAAACAGAAGCTTCTACAAAAATACTGCTCTTTAACAGCCTACAGAGGATTCTGGTGAACTACACTCTACCACATTTAATAAACCAGGTTTGTATGTCTTTAGTCACAATTACAACAATACAACATATATATACAACATACAACTGATTATATTTAGTTTATTCTTTGAGGCAGAAGGAATTAAATGAAAGCAAGTCTAAATAGTTAAATAAGAATGAGTAAAAATGTTTCTAGAAGTGACAGTCCAACTAAAGAAATTATTCTCACTGATTAAAAATAAAGAGCTGTTTATAGTAAATATTATCTTACTAAATAAAACCCTTTGCCTGCTTAAATAATTTTTTAAAAAACTTACTGAGATTCTAAACCTTGCTTTTCAAGGAACTGCATCGCACTGTCTGAAAAATTTGTAAACCCTGATGGAGAAGAGAAAAACAACAACAACAAAAAGATTACTCTTATCACACAGGGGTAAATTAAAGTATCTTTCTTTAGAAATAAAATGTTAGAAAACAGCACCTTATATTTGAAGTGACTAGCTTAGCTCTTTCATGTGCTAATTAGTATGCACATAATGCAATAAACTTTGGTTATTAGCAGATAGTCTTTGAAAATATCCCTTTGATATTTGTACACTGTATGAGTGTGAATATAATTTGCATTAATTTTTTATTACAGTAAACTTTAGCATTATAGAATCTTAAAATATGAAAGTAGGGAAAATATGAAAGTGTGGGGAAAGGCCTTTTTTGGAAAGGTAAACAAAAAAACTTAGCTGACAAAATCTAGAAGGAAAACCATATATAATAGTGAAAATTATTTAGAACACCACAGTACACTACAAACATGACATTTTAAAGTTACCAAATATTACTTTACTTATATATTGAATATAAAAAATAAAAATCAAGACTGATTTGTAAAGTTGCATGAAGTTATTACCTGTTTCAAGTCCAAATTCCAGGTAGTTGTCAGTTACAATCAACACTGCCATTGCTTTGACAAAGAAAAAAAATCCAAAGGTAACACAGACAGATCTTTCACCACCATCTTTTACTTTAAAATAGTGTGTAGTTAATGAAAATAGAATTTTGCTGGAGAAGGAAAAGTTCAGGAAAAACTACAAATAACTTTGTGGGAGTTAAACACAACCACAACCAGTCTTTATAGGCTCAAGCCCCAAGATACCTAACTATAACTTTTGTTTCAATTCTGTAATATGATTACTGAGAAAAGGGCATCCTCAAGTGCCCTTTGAGAGGACTTGAAAAACTAACGAAAAATGAATTTAGAAAATTATTTGTATTATGTCTGTCAAATGGTTTACATTCAGAACACACAAACACACCCCACCAGAATCAGTTGTAAATCATTCAACAATGTAAAATTTGAGAATTACTAAAGTCCACTAGTAAAAAATTAATGTAGGATGTCCACAATATGTGTAAGCAAAAAGTCTAGGGAAAAAAGTTCCAGTGGAGTATTCCAAAACAGTGAAGGTTTCCACATGGGTAAGTAATGTATTTAGAAACAAATCATCTTAGCGCTGAACCTTTAAGGATTCAATTAAGAGTCAATGAGTAGATGACCCAAATCTAGAAGCCTGATCTCCACTACACCAAATTGTTTCCCTTAAACATAAGAAACTAAATACTTGACAACAAAGGGTTAGAAAAGCTAAAAGCTATTTTTACACAAACTTTATGCCTAGCAAAGTACAGCAGCCATCACTTAATACTAGCCATGTGACAAGCATTACCTACTAACTCATTTCTTCATCATATTAACCACAGTCAGATTCAGTAACTTCCCAAAGTGTAAGATTAGACGCACTGGAATTTAACTCTGGATCTAGGGTCTGACGGCTTAACATTCATACTGCCTTTACAAAACTTTATACTACATCTAGGTGCTTCAGGTCCTTTTCACTTTCAGGGCGCAGTTCAATAAAAAGGAGTACTACAGCTTTTCCCATGCAAATTGTTTTTTCCTGTAAGAAGCATACAATCTACCTTTGCCACACAAATTTACAACCAAAATTTTCCAAGAAAGCACATTAAAAACAATTTCTTAAGACTTAGGAGAAACCTCAACATATAAAAAAGAATTTATGAAATACAAAATATTTAATAAGAGTTGCAATGAGATTCTAGGATACAGAGGCTCACATTTTTCTTCCAGGATGTCCCAGATCTCATGTTCTTTCTTTATTTATCCCTTCTCCAATTTACATGTTGGAAAACAAAAGGGATGAAGTTAAGAAAACAATGTATAAAAACTCCGTAATTATAACTGAACTGATTTTATCACAATTTCTCAATGCCCGAGGATCTAGACTGAGGTTTGAAAGACACTGCCTTGTTTTATGGAACTTGGGAGATAACACCCAATTCCTTCACTTACACTAAAAGTAAACCAGTATCTTTCACTGAAAGTGGCAACAGATAACTACAAATGAAATTTCCCAAGTTACGCCTATTGCCAAACTTTGTCACCCCATAATGATAAATTACCAACTTAAAAAGATAAATTAAATTTCATGGAATAAAAAGGCTTTTCCCTCTCTACCATGTAATGGCACAATTCATGAAGGATGGAGAGCTTGAAGTCCTTGACTAGAAGTAGCACAGGAAGGGAGCTCTTGGTTTTTAATCGAATACTTTTGGTACATTTTGTATATTACTTGATAAAACTTGTTGTTGGGGACCATTCAGGATTTTAAAAAAGGGTTTTTTTTTTCCTTCCTTCCATTCCTTTGATTCTTGGATTTTAACAGATAGTAAAGCTTGGAATTAGAGAAGCCCTAGTGGTTAAGCATTTAGCTGCTAGCCTAAAGGTTGGGTGTTCAAACACACAATCCTTTGGAGCCTCTCTGTGGAAGAATGATGTGACAATTCTGTAGTTGATAGGAGGTGGAATTGACTAGGTCAGTGGTTCTCAACGTTACTAATGCCGCGACCCTTTAATACAGTTCCTCATGTGTGGTGACCCCTGACCATAAAATTATTTTCATTGCTATTTCATAACTAAATTTTGCTACTGTTATGAATTAAAATGTAAATCGTAATGTGTTTCCCAATGGAGTTAGCCGACCCCTGTGAAAGGGTTGTTTGACCCCCCAAGAGCTCGCAACCCACAGGTGGAGAACCCTGGACTAGATGGGAATGAGTCCGAAGTTTCACATAAATTCATGCACGAGCACTTTATGTTTTACTAACATCCATCTCCTAATAGAAGTGTTTCCTATACTTTGGCGGCACCAACATAAAATCTTTAAAATGTCAATTCATCACTTCTTCCTACACTGGCAAAGTGCTGATATAAACAGAAATACTCTTTGTAAAGCACCGACGAAACATACAACTTTCCTCTAGTTCTTTAATGCTTCCTCCTTTCCACAATAATTCTACCTTACAAATCCGGGTAGACCAGAGATGTACATGGGTACGGATAAGAGCTAGAAACACAAGATAAGTGCTGGAAACACAAGGAATCCAGGACAAATAAACCTCTCATGACCAATAATGAGAGTAGTGATAACAGGAGGGTAAGGGGATGGGTTAGGGGAAACCAATCACAATGATCTACATATAATCCCCTCCCAGGGGTATGGGCAACAGAAAAGTGGGTTAAGGGAGACAGCGGTCGTTCTAAGATATGAGGGGAAAACATTATAAATTATCAAGTGACCATGAGGGAAGAAGGCTGTGGGAAAAATGAGGACCTGATACCAAGGATTCAAGTAGAAATAAGATGTTTTTAAAATGATGATGGGAACATATGTACAAATGTGCTTGGTACATGGATGGATGTATGGATTGTAATAAGAGCTGTAAGAGCCTCCAATAATTATTTTTTAAATACTGTTTATTAGTCAGTACCTTTACTTTGAACACTAATTCCTCACCCTATCCTCATCCCCATCACTTTCAGATAACCCTGTACATTACCCGATGATAAAGAATATTATATTCGTGTATAATCAAAACTGCATATGGAAAACAACCACGACAAGCATTTTCTTTCAATGATTTTTTTTCCTTTTTAACTATTCAGTATTACCAATTTTAAGGGTCAATTTATTTTGCTATTACAAAATCTCAACCCTTGAAACAGACAAACAAAATGCTAGGAAAGGGGAAATATTGAAGTATGTTTACCTTTACACTGACGTTTTTTCAAATGGTGAGTGAGCTTAATTTCTAGTTCTAAACTTAGGAGAGAAAAATGAGGCTGTCTGCATAAATATTTCAAAGCCCCAGAAATCGTACATACGGTTGCTATGAGTCTAGCTTGGCTGGATGACGGTGGGGGGGAGGGGGTTATATCTAATTTGGTTCATCATAAAATCATTCAAAGATATATCACCATTCTTTGGGAATAGAAAAAATAAGCACATATTCTAAAAGAAAAAAATTGCCAATAAACAAATTTGGTAATACCTTCATTAATAAGCACATAGATTCTTTTGGAGGTTCACACACATTTTTCATATTTAAAATTATTTTTCTAAAGGAAATCACTCTTCCACTCAGTTTTCTGGAAGCCTTGCCACTCTCTGAAAGTACATTAATCTTTATGATTTATCAATAAAATCACACCAAGCAACTATTATGCACTCAAATGTTCCATTATCCAAGTCTCTAAAACCTTAAAACCAAGCCTATTGCTGTTGAGTCTATTTCAATTCTTACCAATCCTATAAGCAAAATAGAACTGTCCCACAGGGTTTCCAATGGTGGAGCTTTTTATATAATCTGACTTTCACTGAGTGACAGGTGGGTTTGAACCACCAAACGATCAGGGCACCTCAGACAATTGTTATTTTAATAGCTTATAAAAAGAAAATGTAAGCCAAAGATATTTAAAGCAAACCACACACAATTAAGTAACACACACACGTTAAACAAAACCCAAAAATACTAACTAAATTTCTGGATTATATAAAACAAAAAAACTCACCCTTAAAACACTAAACTTCAAATATAAAGTCAGACTCAATTATAAATGAATATAAATGAGGTTCTAATATCCAAGTTCCCTGTGAAAGCTTTCTGACATTATCTCCAAAAGTTTCTAAGAAATGAGTTTGCATATAATATGTTCTACATGCTCACCTTCCTGACATGATCGCTGAAAACAAAATGGGTGCTTAGCAAATGTGAAGAAAGCTGATAATGCCCGGCTATCAAAATATATAGCATCTGGGGTCTTAAAGGCTTGAAGATAAACAAGTGGCCATCTAGCTGACAAGCAAGGAAGTCCACATGGAAGAAGCACACCAGCCACTGTGATCACAAGGTATCTATGAGATCAGGTATCAGGCGTCAAAGACCCAGAACAAAAAATCGTATCATTGTGAATGAGGGGGACGGTGGAGTGGAGAACCAAAGCCCATCTGTAGACAATTGGACATCCATTTACAGAAGGGTCACAAGGAAGACATAAGCTAACCAGGGTACAGTATAGTACCAATGAAACATACAACTTTCCTCTAGTTTTTTAATGCTTCCTTCCCCCTACTATCATGATCCCATTTCTACCTTAAAAATCTGGTTAGACCAGAGCATATACATGGGCAGGTAAGAGATGGAAACACAGGGAATCTAGGACAAATATCCCTCAGGACCAATGAGTAGTGATACCAGGAGGGGAAGGGGAAGGTGGGGGGTGAAAAGGGGATCCGATCATGACCTACCAATAACCCCCTCCCTAGGAGACGGAAAAAAGTGGGTGAAGGAAGACATTGGTCAGTGTAAGACATGAAAAAATAATAGTTCATAAATTATCATGGGTCTATGAGGGAGGGAGGGAGAGTAGAGGAGGGAGGGGAAAAATGAACTGATACCAAGGGGGCAAGTAGAGAGAAAATGTTTTGAAAATGATGATAGCAACAGATGTGCACATGTGCTTGACACAAAGAATCCATGTATGTATTGTGATAGGAACTGTATGAGCCCCCAATAAAATTATTTTAAAAATATGTTCTATAAAAGTTTAAGACAAAACAGACATCTAAGCAAAGATTCAACAGCTGTAACAATAATTTTCTTGTGGAGAGATCTGATATTTCTCCTAGCCTACTTCAGGCTACTGCTTCATTATCTTACTAAACTACATTACTGCCAAATCAGAATATAGCAATTTAGAAATGATGATGTTAAGTTACATCAACTTGCTCAGGTGTTATCTATTTCCCACAGCAAGAAAAAAAGCATTTAGAAATTTTTAGATTACAAATACACGCTTTATATAAAATTTGTATGTCTGGCAACCAAGCAAAGAAAATTTTAAATCACAGCTATAAATACATAATAGTGTTTTATACCTTATACCACCCTAAATGTAAAACACAACCACAGTAGAAATGTGACTAATGATCCAGTCCTTTAACCAAGTATAACAGACCGACTAAGCTTTATCATTTTTTGTAGCATAGCTTTCTTAAACGTATGTAACTGACTCAATACCACAGCTGTGGCTCTATGCCATTGCTTACTCATAAGCATCTCTAAAATACACACACACACATTATAAAGTATTTTAATTTTTGAAAGTTATACCTATACTAAAGGAACTCTGGATTTTTTTTACAAGCATCGTTTTTTCACCTAATTTTTCTTTTAAGTGAAAGCAATATGCTTGAAATTAGTAGCCAATTCTCCAGTGACTCTAAGACTTCAAGGGCCACTATATAGGAAAGACAATTACCAGACCTGTTCCATTCTCATCACAAAGCTTTACCTTTTATCTTGCCTATGATGTGTAACGTGGCACAAATGAAAACTGGAACACATAGATTTGGTCAAAGAAGTTGGTGAGAACTGCAAACAGGAAAGGAGTAAAACTGAGAAGTACTTTGGATTTAGAAGTGAGATTGGAAGCAGGTATAGTAACTGAGATAAACATGCAATTCAGCAGAATAAAGCAAAATTGACGATTTGGCTCAAAGTTTTGATATCACATTTT